CAGATACTGATTGATAATTTTTTCCTCGATCAGTAGTAGCATTCAATTCAGTAAGACCAAACTCTTCAGAAAGTCATCAGGGTCAGCTTCATTTAAGAATGTATGATCGGTACAGCACATTGCTCCAAAATTTTTTTCTTAATCGCTATAAATTTAGTGTTAATTAATGGGCATATGACCAAGGCCAGAAGGCAACTCGGGCACTCCTCTTAGTTGGAATAATTCCATCTCTCGGTCTATCCAAACAGGTCTGAAACTGGATTCAGAGTTGAAGGCCCAGGTAGGTAGTTAGTGACAGAAGTGTCTGAAGTTTTTTATTGGGCTAGCAACTTGATACGGCTCCAAGAATTGACTGACAAACTGATTCAGTTAATGGATACAGTCATACAATCAGGCACTCTACTATAATAGTAGTATCAATTTACTAGTAGTGTCAAACAAGTGTACATTTCGTCAGAGTATCTAATAATTGATACAGCAATAAAACCAAGGACAGCAGCCATGGTATTTGACGAGGGTCGATCGAACAGAGAATGTACTAGCAAATGCCATGAATGCTGCAAGATACTTAATCAGATAAGCAAGTTTGCTGTGTGAAAACAGGCAACTGACAAGGTTGTCATTTGCCATTGCAGATTCAATGTTGGTATATCACTAGCCTGCAAGGAATGGCTAATCAAAGTCTGTTTCCTACAGGATGAACTCTCACTGTCTCATTGCTCTCGCATTTAGGGCCTGTTATTTCAGAGGTAAACTTCAGTCAAAAGAATGAACCAACTTTGGATGACTTGGTTCAACTCATCTTCTGGAACACCAGGAGAGTCACTTGAAAATGACTCTCATAATGTGAGAAGATATAGACCTAACCTAATCTAGCAGAAGCAGTAGCGGAAACAATAACAGGTTAAGGAGAATACTCCAGTAGGAACAAAAGCTGGAACTGAAGAAAATGTGGCAGAAGATCATAAGTGGTAGTTAGCATGATGATCACTCTGGCACCACTGTTGCTGCTCTGCTGGATCATTTAATGGAAAAACAGGCCTAATTACTTGTAAAGTGATCAGCATGTAGTACTAAGATCTTTGTGGACCTTTGGCACCTCTCTCCTTGCTAAGTCTGAAAGTGACAGGGAATTCTCATCTAAACTAGAAACTGCAGAGTTGGAAGCCACTGCTATGGGTTCAACTCGACGAGCTGGCATTAGGCCAATGCTGTATTATTTTTCGGTTTAAGGAGTTCTGCTAGTTTGCGTGAAGGTATCTGTCATGTATAACCTATTTCATGGAATCAGAGGGGTTTTAATTCAGAGTAGAGTTCTCTCACATATTTGCGTTCATGGGCCTCTTTGCCTTGAAGGCATCCAAGAAGACCAAGATATATACTATAGGAATTTGGTTAAAGTCTCCTACGTAGTATATGCTAATCTTATCGTGTGTTCTTAATAACCTTAATAATTAGTCATTTAGTGTGCACAAACACGTCTGCTCCGACAGGTAGTACCCAGTGGTTTAGTATGTTTCACTTGTTTAGAACATTAGCACCGTGTTCAGTACACACATTTTAACCATTTTATACTCCTCTATCCTAAAATATACTAACAAGTTCTGTCGTTCAAATATTTTCTCAAAATATAACGATTTCTCTACCAACGTTTTTTGTATTAATCAATCACAATCTTTCACCATTCAATTTCCACATCCACCTTCACTTCTCAACTAATTATAATTTTCTCCCATATAATTTTACATACACATGTTCATGTTCAGTTCTAAAAATTTTTATATGTTGGGATAAAGGTAGTACTTACAGACAGTACATGTTATTTGTCGATCGATAGCGTGTTTTCTGTACTAAGTACGTGCCACTTAGGCAATTGTCGCACTTATCTAATTATCTAAAGCCGGCGGTTGTGTTGGCATTCGATTGGCCCACGTGGCGGGATAATTTGCGCGCAAATTAGAGAACGCGCTCCGTCGTTAGTAAACCTCTCGACCAATCCAGGAAACGCGTGTTAGGCAAGTATTAAAAAAAAAGAAGGGAAAATCAGGCGCTCTGAGTTCGTAAATGGGCTGCACAGCCCAGTCGTGGGCCTGCTCGCCTGGTGGCTGTCACGGTGTTCAGCTACGGTCTGCATGACAGCACGAGTAAACAGAAATGCTAGGAGACAAGCAAAAGGAGAGGAAGACATAAGAGCAGGTACGATAGCATGCTATAAGTCAGCTGTAAATATATTTTAAGAAGATAAATAAGGAGAGAGAAGGGCAGCGGACTACAGATTTGTAGCCAGCTGTAGCACGGACTTCAAGACACAATGTGTGTATGACAGGTGTGACCAAGTATTAATAGTGTAGTATGTAACTATTGTATGAATGAACTATTAGATTGACTATAGATGAATTGAAGCTAGTAGTTGGCTATACTATTGAACTTGCTCTAATGGAAAAAGAAAAAGGAGAAGTGAAAATAAAATCCAACCATTCATCCATCCATCCATCCATCAATCTATCTAAAAAAAAGTAAACTTAAAATTTATAGAATCCATCTATTTGGGTGGTCTTTCGAGTTTCGACAGTTGATTGGACCATATGATGTAGTTAATGTTAAGATAAATCTTGAAAAATTACATAGGGTAAAAATACATAAATCCAGACAGTAACATTTATATATTCTATATAATTTCAAACTCTGTGCCCCACTAATCTATAAAATTAACTTCATATAGATTCGGGAGGTTTACACATTTTTTAACCCTTGCAATCAAAGAAATGCTTCATCTCTTCAAATCAAAACAAAATGAAGACCAAAGCCATAGAAAGAAGATGTCTTCACTTCTTAGCCTTCGATTAATAAAAACTGAAAAAAAAAGAATAGACATTGAAGCGTGAATATAATAGGTCACCACTTCATCTTCTTCAATCGATTAAAATTGAAGAAAATAACAAAGATTAAAGTGTGAAAAGGATTAAAAAAGAAAGGAAAAAAAAAAAACAAAAAAAGCATTCCTCGAACTACCGATTGCAACTTCTCAATGGCTACCACCCCATAACCCTATAGATTAGAGGAGCCGCTCAAACCCATGTTGTTCATAAGAGCAGGTACAATAGCAGTTTTTTAGTCAGCTATAAACATATTTTAATAAGATAAACGATGAGAGAGAATAGCAGTGGGCTACAGATTTATAGCCAGCTGCAGCATGGACTCCAAGACGCAATGTGTATATGATAGGTGGGACCATATATTAATAGTATAGTAAGCAACTATTGTATGAATTGACTATTAGATTGGCTATAGATGAATTGGAACTAGTAGTGGGCTATACTATTAAACTTGCTCTAATAGTGCGCTCTCCTGTTGGATCTAAATTTTCTTGTGCACTAAAAACAAGGCAAACGAGCAATAAACATAGCAAGTGGGTTACAAAATTTAAAGTACGCCAACCGGCGCACATATTTTCTAGTCTTAACCAGTGTTGATGGTATTCTTGAGACGATTGTTCATAGTCTTTGGTACATATGCCAAGTGTCAGTCTTATTTTTCTCTTTAAATAATGGATAAGCTGGTCGCTATGTCAAAGATATAGAAAGCCCATGTACCTAGTGAACTGTAACATATGGATTGCTGGAGTTTTCAACTTAAAAAAAAACGATGCAGTTTTGGTCTCCTGGCTTTACCTCATTGCTTTTCTTGACTTTAGAGCAAGCAACATTTTTCTATTGAATTCTAATGACAATTCAAGAAAACAACCATACAGTGTCTCATACAACTGCAATAATTTGCTCGGATTTGGGCCTGTTTAGTTCGCGAAAAAAAAAATTTGGGTGTCACATTGGATGTTTGACCGGATGTCAGAAGGGCTTTTCGGACACGAATGACAAAAATAATTTCATAACTCGTCTGGAAACCGCGAGACGAATCTTTTGAGCCTAATTAATCCGTCATTAGCACATATGGGTTACTATAGCACTTATGGCTAATCATGGACTAATTAGGCTTAAAAGATTCGTCTCGTGATTTTCTTCATAACTGTGCAATTAGTTTTTTTATTTATCTATATTTAATGCTTCATGCATGTGTCCAAAGATTTGATGTGATGTTTTTGGGAAAAAAATTTGGGGAACTAAACGGGGCTTTTGTTGTCCTCAAACGACCTAAATTTCTCAAATCTGCGAGTCCGATGTGATAGTGAAATCAATCCAATGTGAACACACCGGCATACATCATGCAACGGCTAGAGATTTACCTTACATTTTCTTTTAAAAAATGGAATAGCCAATGGCATCTTCTGTACTGAGCGTCAGTCACCTGTTCTCTGACTTTATCTTTAGAAATAGAAATGGTCTTTGGTGCGTGCCAAAATTACCAATCTTATATTAAACAATTACTGATAATATATATGTTCCTATAGTTTTATCCTCCTGGCTCACACCTTATCGCTTGGTTGTCATATGGAACATCTACTTTGACCTTCGGCTCGAAGTTATTGAAATATGCACAAGAAGCGCCGCGTCTTCTCGTGGATGGGCTCGGACTCGGTTCATGGGGGGCAGTGCCGGGCTTTTGGAGAGTTGGGAATTCCCGACTTCAGGATGGCAGGGTTTGCTCTCCGTGTTCGGTGGCTTTGGTTTCAGCGCTCAGGACATCCATATACTAGGATGGCCTGAATACCCCAGTCGAGCAAACCGTCTCCGACATGTTCGAAGCGTCCACCTCCTTCGTGCCGGGGGATGGTGAGTCGATACTCTTCTAGGTTGACCAATGGATCGGTAGCCGCTCGGTGGCCTCCTTGGCTCTAGATCTCCTCTTTGTCGTGCCCCAGCACCTCTGAGGTTCACGCACGGTTACTTCTGGCTTGGCGAGCAATTCCTGGGTTTCTGACATCTGTGGTGCACTCACTGTCGCGATTATCTCTTAGTTTCTTCTTGTTTGGGATGCGGTGCTTCACATTTAGCTCTCGCCGGGTGTCAGGGATCGTCTTGTTTGGCATTGGAAGAGTGACAAGCGCTACTCGGTGCGTTTGGCATACCAGACGTTCTTCTATGGCCAACACACCTTTGCCTGTGATGATCTTATCTGGCATGCGAATGGTCTTGCTAAATGTAAGTCCTTCCTCTGGTTTGCATTTCAGCAACATTGCTGGATGACCAATCTCCTCCAAAAGCGTGGCATCGATAGCCACTCAGTCTACCCCTTTTGCGCTCAGGAGCTTGAGACGGGGAACCACATCCTCCTTGGCTACGTGTTCGCTCAGCAAGTCTGGCTCCGTGTGCTGTCGCTTTCTGATTGGTCTACCCTCTCTCCTCCTCATGGCAACTAGCTCCAGGACTGGTGGCCATCTTCTAGGGCATGCTTACCTGAGCATCTCCATGCCGGCTTCGACTCCTGAGTCCTCCTGGTATCTTGGCAACTGCGGAAGGAGTGAAACTCCAAGGTTTTCAACTCTGCTCTCTTCGGTCTCAGTGGTTCTAGAGTCCATCCTCACTGAGGGCCATCTATGGTCGTTAGCTGGCGTTGCTTCTTTTGGAGTTTTCTTGGGAGGGTAGTGTGGCTCTGCCCCCTTCCCGCTGATTGGAATTGCGTTTAACAGTCGTAGTAGTCTCTTCCTTTTTCCTTTGTTTTTTTTGTTGTTTCTCCCTTCCCTTGGCATAAGCCGGTTTGGCTAATTGCGTTGTGTAAACAAACTCTCTTTTATTCTAATATATTGACGTGCAATCTTTTTGCGCGTTCACGAAAGAAAAAGAAGAAAGGGAAAAAATAATATGAAAGAGAGGTTGAGACCCTCAAGCAAATGGATTAGGATTAGCGTTCTACTTATTGGGGATTGTTATTGAGCAAACTAGATGATTAATTTCCCGCACATTGCAGCAGGATGATTGTGCATACAAATAAAAATAATGAACGTAAAAAAAATGATGTTGAGTACCTAGAAATAAAACAATGTTTAACTTTTGATTACCTGAGCTATTAAAATAATCAAAACACTATTTATAATATTTAGAATATGAATTTGCTTATGGTAGTTTTACTTCTTCTTTGTATTTTTAAATGGATCGGATGGTTAGGACAAAATTTGTTGATGATTAGTCACGCAAATGCTTTAATATTCAGATTAAAGCCTGAGAAAGATCCAAAGACTATAGATCTGTGCGTTCCCAGTCAAACTTCCTTTTCCCAAAAACTTCCGTTCAAACAACTTTATAGGAAACAAAACTTAATATGAAAGCTTCCGTATGAGAAAAAAGTGTGCGTTGGGAACAAAGTTACGCTAAATAGCAGTTATGGTACTTCCCGTTCGAAAATATAAGGCACAACTATCCTTAATGCAAAGACCAAAAACTATTATTATTATTTAGTCTCGTTTGAATCATCCTAATAAATAGAATGCATGCATCTAATAAAATTAGATATTTAAAGGGTGTAGGATTTTAAAAATAATAATTCCGACGAAAAGAGGTACTAATTAATTGCTTTCATGCATGCATATGCCTTATATTATGAAACATGTGAAAAACAATAGCTGTATTTTATATTTTAGAATGGAAGGAGTTTTTGTACTTTTTTTTCCAGATCCCAAATGGCCACATGAGCTGGCTAGCTCTCCTACACTTCACTCATTCATTGAATGACCTTTTTTTTAAGATCAGTACAAACGCAAACTCAAACGTTCTTAACATGCGTATAGTCATCCCTAATAATACACATTCGCACACCTCATTCCCTGGAAGGATCTCTAAAAAAACTAGACCGACATATCTCGTGATCGACGAAATTACTATGGGCGTCTCAACGTCGACGGGTACGTCACATACCACTGAAAGAATAATTATCGTTCATTTGAGTATATATATTTGATGTGGGAAAATGTTTTGATTTTTCGAGATGATGCCTATCGGTTGTATAAAAATAATCTAAATGATTATAAAGATTCTCAAAAGAATTAGAAAGAAGTTTATTTTATCAGAACACTTAACTTCCTAAACTATTTTTGGCTCATTTTACACCCTCAGCTATTGAAAACAGTTGCCTTCACCATTCTAACGCTATTTTTCTTTTTTGTTTCTCTCTATATAAGACATATTTTGCATTGAAATTTGTTAGGGCCATAGATGGCTACATGATCAAAGTTCAAAAGAATTTTCATCGTTGTTTGTTTGAACTTTTAAATTTGATGATTAAATCAGTCTCAAGTGTTTTCAACCAGTGTAACAGTGTTCTTTTTTAGAAAAAAAAAGGTGAGATGTGTAAGTTGTGAACGCATCTATATTCTAAGAACATTCGCACAGATTGTTTTGTTCCCTCGAAGGATATATAGATGTCCCTAGTTGACATGCATATGCTGCAAGTTGTTTCAATGAAGTCTGATGGATCGTACATCTAGTAGCATATAAAAGTCCCATATTCCTATGGGTTTGTGCATATATTATATGATGCACGTAAGTACATGCATGACCCCACGTTGTTACGGGATCAAATACAGTTGCTACTAGGATTGCACAATAACTACTGCACACAATCTGAGCCCTCTATGTCTGAATCTAACGGCCAAAAAAGATCCAGCACAGTAAAATCAAAACAGTAAATTGCTACAGTGTTTTGTCACAGTAAATCGCTACAGTGTTCAGATGTACCTCGGGTGTCCATTTTGAATCATGCCATGCTAGTGTGGACTGCTTATCTTGCGGTATCACTAGCTACTGCACCTGAATCGAACGTTGTTACGTTGTGCTATATATACTGAACGGTCGCGCCACTGCAAGGCATATAGAGGATCGAATTTATATCGAGTATATTAGGATAATGGCCGTGAAGAAGACGATGAAGGTCGTGTTCTCCCTTGTGCTCTTGCTGCTCCCTCTCGCCTCTACCTCGGCGGTGGAGGTGAAATTCGACTTCATGTATTTTGTTCAGCAGGTAATGTGGACCGATACCAATGATCAGCTTAATTGTGAATTAATCCTATATATTTATATAGTTCATCTCCTCACTAATTAAGTATAGTTAATGATATTTCTCTCTTTTCTCATGAAGCCATATCATACTAATTATTTTTAGCTTTTGATAATAGATCTATGGTACAAATGGTCTCTTCTTTTCTTCTCTCGTAAAACCATACAATCCCAATGTTTTTTAGTTCAAAATTCATAAGTATCAATTACATCGAATATGTTCACCTTACATTATATTTGCGATCATGTGTAAATTATATAAAACATAGGATGTCATTTTGTTTTGGTTTACAAAATATATTATAGCTTATTTGTACAAACTATACAACATAATTTCCCCCGGGGTATTTATCTAGTTATATATGATAGTTATCCATATATACTCGCTACGTGTGTTTCTGATACTTTTAATTAATTAATTGTGTTGAGGTATTTTTAAACATATATTGGTCTTACCAGACTGCTGTATGCTTTTGGCATGTTATCTAAATAGCTATTAGTTTTTTTTAAGAAAATGGTAAGGTAGATTAATATGAGGTATATCAATCTACGAATATGCAAGGTTAAATTCGACCTCTACAAAACTATAAAAAGAATTAACAAATTAAATTAAAACAAGTATGTGTACATTCACATTTATATTTATTTTTTAAAATAAATTATAGAAGTTATTTATATTTAATTTTTTAAAATAAATTATAGAAGTTAAATTTAATTTTGCATATTAGTGGACTCATATATCTCATATTAATCTATATTGTTAATTTTTTCTCATTTTTTATGACTATATATGTGACGTTGCAAAATAAAAGAGCCTTGAAGAGGGTGAAAACCCATCTCCATATACAAGTTATTCCCTTCGCTAAAAAATATAACGATATACTAAATTAGACATAATATAGTACTACGAATTTAGACAAGTCTAATCCAAAACCACTGTGTCGCTATATTTTTAAATAGAGGGAGTGAGTGATTAATTATTTGTGCTTTGGTTATTTTCTTCTCTTTTTTTTTTGTATTACAGTGGGCTCCATCGTACTGCTCCACTGCCCCGCACGAGTGCGAGTACGAGCCCCGGCTACCCCCAAATAACTTCACCATCCGTGGCCTATGGCCGAGCTACGAGGAATGGCGGCCGGAGTACTGCAACATCAGCGACCGCCTCGACCCGGGGCAGATCCAGGACCTGGTGAAGCCGCTGAACCAGTCATGGCCGTCGCTGCTGCGCAACGAGACCAACCTCGAGCTGTGGAGCCACGAGTGGAGCAAGCACGGCACCTGCTCCAACCTCAGCCAGCACGGCTACTTCGCCGCCGCGCTCGCGCTGGACAAGCTTAAGCTCACCAACCTTACCAAGATCCTCGCCGACGGCGGCGTCGTGCCGTCCGACGAGAAGACCTACACGCTCGGCGAGATCAGCGACGCACTCGCCAAGGGCACTGGGTTCAGCACCTACCTCCGGTGTAGCCAGAACGAGCTCAAGTACGGGGAGACGCTGCTGTACGAGGTTTTGCAGTGCGTCGACCGCTCCGGCGAGAAGCTCGTCAACTGCACGACGCCGTACTGGGTGACCCGCTGCCTTGACCCTGACAAGATCAAGATACCGGCTTGGTTCTATGGACAGTAGCAGCACTAGCTATAATCTAGATTAATGCTGCCGCATGATTATAATCTTCCAATATAATCTAGGCGTCATGCATGTCTATTAATTTGTTTCCTGTAGGAGTGTCAAGTTCAGAGTTTGCTAGCTAATTAGGTAAATAAGCTGTCAAGAAAGTTGTTGTCCGTGCTTGTGCGAATCCGTTCGAGTCAGAGATTGTTACAGAATGATCTTCTGCTGTTCTGCATACAATAAGAGAGAACCAGTAAATGGTCTGAGGTTCACAACTCACACGCAACTGTTTTTTCCACAATCATTTTGTGGCTGTGTTCTTCCCCACATTTTCCCAACCAACCTCTCTATTTTCCGTACGCACGCTTTTTAAACTGTTAAAACGGTGTGATTTATGCAAAAACTTTCTATATGAAAGTTGTTTAAAAAAATCATATTAATCCATTTTTTAAAAAAAAGTTAGTTAATACTTAATTAATCATGCAATAAAATAAACTTCGTTTTGTGTGCTGGAGAGGAGGGGTTCTCAACCCCTCCTCCGAACACAGCCTAAAGTTTTGCATGCCCGGTGCCCGGAGTAACTAAAACACGTACTCTAATAGTATAGTTTTTTTTTGCTGCGAGATTTATATCGTCCTAAAAAGCTTCGTAGTAAAAATTTTACTAATAGACAAAATAAGTACTCCATCTCTCCCAAAATATACTCCCTCCGTTTCTAAATATTTGATACTGTTGATTTTTTAGCACATGTTTGACCGTTCGTCTTATTCAAAAACTGTTGTGAAATATGTAAAACTATATGTATACATATAAGTATATTTGACAATAAATCAAATGATAGAAAAAGAATTAATAATTACTTAAGTTTTTTGAGTAAGACGAACGATCAAACATATTTCAAAAAGTCAACGGCGTCAAATATCTATAAACGGAGGGAGTAGCAAACTAGGAAGAAATTAGATACAACCTAATACATCTGGATAGGATTGCTACCGCAATAAAAATTTTACTGCCTAGACTTGTATAATACTTCTCTATATATACTAAATAGGTATTTCCTTCGTCTCAAAATATATATACAAAGTTATATCACACAAAATTTATTAGTTGATCTAGGTTTCGCTGAGTTTGCTGAGAACATTTAGTACTCGAAAATAGTATAGTACAAAGCCTGAAGCCTTGTTAGGCTGGATCAGAAATCACGGCCCATGCAGCAGATGGCTGAGAATGTGAACCCATTAGGCTTTGTTAAATGGGCCTCATTTTGGCACATCTACGTATATAAGGGTTGGTCTGGTTTAAGGCCTAAATTAGGCTTACTAATATTTGACAATTTTAATAGTGTTTAATGTCTATTTGGTTTGAAACCAAATTTTGGCATGCCTAAGAAAATATGCCATTTCAATAGTAAACTTAGGCTATTTTGGTTTCAATCCAAACACAACTTTACCTTACCAAAAATAGTCATGCAAAACTTGCTAAAATTTGGCATTGTTTAGTAAGGCCTATTTAAGCCACAAACCAAACCAACCCTAAGTTCTCACCTCAAACTCTCAGCCAAAGTAATTAAACTTCAATCACAGAGCGACTTCTTCAGGACAGGAGCTATGCGAGTTCCTATTTGTGGAGGACTTGCTGGATCATTTGTTGAAAAGAACATCTCTAATCACTCTCCAAAAGCGACGGCCGTGTCTCACCATGCTAATTATGAAAACGCTGAAAGTGACAGGGAATCGCAATTTAAGCGACAGATTGCAGAGTTTAGATGCGTGCTAGCTATGGATTCATAACGAAGAGTTGACACTATAGACCTGCCGTTCAGTGTGCCTGTACGGCAGCGGGAAAAAAAGGAGATGTTCGTCAGAGGTATAAAAGTAACTTGATCTGCCATGCGTTTGGTGAAATTCATGGGAAGGGTAAAGAACAGTTCAAGATTTTGCCTGCCTTTTGGTTGTGATTTGGTGAAATTCATGGAAAGGGTGAAGAACAATTAAAGATTTTGCTGTGATACACGTGTGCTACACAAAAAAAATCAATTCAAGATTTTGCCTGCCTTTTGGCTGTGATTTGGTGAAATTCATGGAAAGGGTAAAGAACAATTCAAGATTGTGCTGTGTTTTACGAGTGCTATAAAAAAACAATTCAAGATTTTAGGGTGCCACACAATTTTTTTTCAAGATTTTGCAAAAAAAAAAGATTTTAGAGTGCTACACAAAAAAAAATAATCAAGATTTTGCAAAAATAAAAAAGTATTGTCAATAATGGGATTCGAACCGGTAGCTGAAACTGGCGCCAACTCGGCCATCTTGACTTGATACCTTATTTGCCTACTGAATCTACTTCGTACCATTGATTTTCTCATAGTTCAACAATTTGCCATCGACATTGTCTCTTTCTATAATATACCGATGACTTTATCAATTGTTCTATAATGCACCATTGCATTCGACATTTTTTTTAAAAGAATACCCACAATATCCTTAGAGACATACTACAAGATTCACAATTAATTTATCTCATTAAAAGTTTTAAAAAAATTGAAAATTTTTATGTGGCCTCTTTACACAACATAAAAACTTGTATATAAGATTCATTTTCATTTGGAAGAATCGACTGGACGCGGATTTTTCGTCAACAACAGTGGAGTCATAGAAAGGATAACAACATTGTTCCTCAAATCTTGGTTCAATGGTCATCCGACGGGCGAGCCCACTTATACATACCACCTCTCTTACTCCCCATTCGATAGGCGAGCCCATTTACACATACCACCTCTCTTACTCTTTTATCCTTGTTTCGTGTAAAAGGGTTAACCCAGGAGTGACATGATTAGAGGAACAAGTCCTTATAAGTTGGTTCCGCTCTTGCTAAATGTCGGGTCCTAAAACTAATAACTTGGATCCGACTAAAATTAATGTATCAATCCCTGGATCAGTAAATATTGATACATGTAATACAGCTGGTTCTTCATTGCATACGTTAAAGTTTACAATACTAGAGGTTTTACAAGGGTAGGTACTCACCTACATAGGTGCTAATATTACACAACGGAAGTTCTAGTACATTCTGACTAGAAAGGTATAACCTCTAGGAATTTTCTAAGTTATCAGAGTCATCGTAATAATAATCACAGGGGTCCTCCTCTTGACCCAAATCTAAAAAAGGGTTAATAAGAGCAAGGGTGAGTATTCGCAATACTCAGCAAGTTATCACGGAAATATGTTATGCATTGACATATAATAGGGTTCTTTGCAAAAAGCAGTATTGGACAATCTGGAAAAGTTATAGTAGAATTTATAAAACATATAAACTTTAGATTTCTAACCAGGGTACCATATGAGTCCCGGTACTCAACTCCATGAGTACGGCTATTCGAATAGTTTCAAAGATATTCTACTGCAGCAGATGTACGCTTTACCCGCAGTCCACGACTTGCTGATAATCATCGGCTTTAGTCATGGCCCACCTGTTCCATGAACTTATATCCTCATATGCTCTGAACGTAATGTTAACAGCAGCGAGAGAAGTTCTGGCATTCCCGAGGTATTTAAGGGGAACTGATCGTATGACACCACGTCATCTCGATCAGGGTTTAGAAATATACCATATAATTTATACTCGAGTATCACAAACCATTCACCTGTACATGGTAATGGTTAAATTTGCCCTTCGCGGCTATAGTTGCCTCCTGCGCGAGGAGCGCACTTAAAAATAAGAACCACCATACAGAGGTGCCATATTGCTAATTAACATAATAACTAGGTCTGTCCCCATTCTAGAAACTGCGGTCGTACCCGTTCGTTCGACATAAGTACCTGGTAAAACTTATATCGATTGAGACAATACTAGCCACCCGGAAATCAACCAAATCTTACGTATTGTCTCAATCTAAGTATGAGGTATTTTAAGCAGATTGTAAGCAAAATAAGCAATACTAAATTGTCTGGGTTTCTATGATTGATTTATGCATATAGAAAATAGAATATTGAATAGAAGGCTATAAATAAATAATTTGTAAAATATAGGCTTAAATGATCAAAAGGTGTATAGTAACTTGCCTTGCTCGATGTCCTGAGATTGAATGATATTATCTAGTGTGTCAGAAGAATCCTCAAGACCTAGGGTTAGATATATAAAATTCAGATTCAAAAGGAATTCGAATAAAATCCAAAAATAGGCAAAAATGAAATAAAATGAGAAAATAGCAAAAATAGCCTCAAAAGATAGAGAAAGATTTTAGAAGAATTTTGGTCCAAGTTTCACTGGAATTGGGTTTATATTTTAAAAGATATGGGCTTCTAAAGAATAGGATTTGAATTAAATCTATAAAATATAAAAGGTTACTATTCATGGGCCCACCTGTCAGCTTCCTTTTTCTTTTGCTTCTTCTTCTTCCGTCTCTTCTTTTCTCTGCCTCACAGTGAGCCGAGAGAAGAGAGAGGAGAGGGTAAGCGGGGCGTCGGCTCTCCGGTGGCCGGAAGGCGGCGACGTCGGCGGCGAAACGTGTTCCCGAGCGACGCGCATCCGGAGAAGCTGTCGGCTAGCGAAGGAAACAAAGGAGGAGGCCGGAACGGCGACGGCAGGAGCTCAACTCCGGCGATAAAAGAAGTGGCTGTGGTGGTTTATTTCAAGGTGGAGGGAGAGGGGAAAGGGGAAAAATGGAATCAACTCGTCGAGGCGAAGCTAATGGCGCGAGGATTTGGTTAGTGGAGCTCTGGTGAGGGAGATTGGGCGGTGGCGGCAATAGCCGGTCATGGCTGAGAGAGAGAAGAGAAAGAGCTTTTAGCTCGATGGGGGGGAAAGATGGGGTAGTGCCGGCTATATATAGGCGGGGAGAGGCGGTTCGGAAGAGAAGGATGACGATGTCACGGCTGTGGCGACGTGAAGGAAAGAATGACGGCGCCGACTTCGTTTCCTTAGCGGCGACGTTTGCGGCGGCGTGCGCCGTGCGCAACACGCGCACGGGAGGAGGAGGCGGCTCGGCTGGGGTGTGGGCTGATTTGGGCCGGCTCGGCTTAGCTGGGCCGGCAGCCCAAGAGGAAGGAGGAAAATAGAAAGAAAAAGGATTGGGCCAAAAGGAAGAAAGAACAGAGTTTCGGCCCGATGACAAAAAGAAAGAAGTCTAATTTGTATACTTGATTTGGATAACTAGGTTTTGCGAAGAATTTGAATTCGGAGAGAATTCACAAAGGAGATTTCCTAATTTATTTGAGTGCAATATTTTTAGGTG